CCCAGCTGGCCTGAGGGTGGCTGGGCTCATGGATGCCTCTCTCCACCAATGTAGACCTTCAACACAGAATGGGAACCCTCACCTCACCCTCAGCCAACTTGGCACATTCTCAGTCCAAGCTACTGGGCAAAGAAACTTTCACTCTGAAAATATTTAAACAGAGTTCACATCTCCACACAACTAATAATGCCTTACTAACTCCCACACCGAGCACACAATACTAACATCACACACACTCCCTTCTCGAAAGCTGTAGCGGATACTAGTGGTGTCACTAGGGTTGGTGTCACCAGGGCAGTAACTCATGGTGTTACTCTCCCCTCCCCCCATACCTCCTCCCATACCACACCATTCCTGCTTTTAATGGGTATTCCTCTTGCACTTCTGCTAGGACAGATTTGTTTGTTCTTCTGGCAGTCCATGGTATTTTCAATATTCTTCACCAGCATCATAATTCAAAGGAATTAACTCTTCTTCAGTCTGCCTTATTCCTTGTCCAGCTTCCACATGTCTATGAGGCTATTGAAAATACTGTGGTTTGGATTAGGTGTCTGTGGCTTCCAAAGGAGCCCTGGTGGCGTAGTGCCTAAGGCACCTGACTGCTAACCAGAGGCTGGCGGTTCAAACCCACCAGCCATTCCTCAGAAGGAAGGTTGGACAATCTACTTCTGTAGTGATACTGTCTCAGAAACCCAAGGAGGGGTCTCTATGAGTCAGATCTGACTTGACGGCAGTGAGTTTTGGTTTTTTTTTTTTTTTTTTAATTAGGTGTACCTTAGTTTTCAAAGGATGTTGTTGGTTCTTAACACCTTAAAGACGTCCTTTGCAGCAGATTTGCCCAGTGCGACACTACATTTGATTGCTTTACTGCTGCTTCCATGGGCATTGATTGTGGATCCAAGTAAAATGTAATCTCTGACAACTTCAATCTTTTCTCCATTTATCATGATGCTGCTTGTTAGTCCAGTTGTGAGGATTTTTATTTTCTTTATGTTGAAGTATAATCCATACCGAAGACCAAAGTGTTTGATCTTCATCAGTAAGTGCTTCAAGTCTTCTTCACTTTCAGCAAGCAACGTTCTGTCATGTGCATATCACAGGTTGTTAATGACTTTTCCTCTAATCTTGATGCCATGTTCTTCTTCATGTAGTTCAGACTTCTCAGATTATTTGCTCAGCATACAGACTGAATAAGTATGGTGAAAGGATACAAGCCTGACGCTCACCCTTCCTGATTTTAAACCATGCAGTATCCCCTTGTTCTGTTCAAACAGCAGCCTTTTGGTCTATGTACTTAATTGAGCACAATGAAGTGTTCTGGAATTCCCACTCCTTGCAATGTTTTCCATAATTTATTATGATCCACAATACCTTTCTGGTATTCTTTGCTTGCAGGCAAGATCGATCTGACATCAGCAAAGACATCTCTTGTTCCATGTCTTCTTCTGATTCCAGCTGGCTTTTCTGGAAGTTCCCTGAAAAGATACTGATGCAACCATTTTTAAATTAGCATCAGCAAAATTTTTCTTGCTTGTGATTTAATGATATTGTTCAACAGCTTCCACATTCTGTTGGATTACCTTTCTTTGGAATGGGCACAAATATGGATCTCTTCCAGTCAGCTGGCCAGGCAGCAGTCGTCCAAATGTCTTGGCATAAACAAACAAGCACCTCCAGTGCTGCATCCACTTGTTGAAACTTCTCACTGGGTATTCCATCAATTCCTGGAGCCTTGTTTTCACCAATTCTTTCAGTGCAGCTTTGACTTCTTCCTTCTATACTATTGGTTCTTGATCAAATGCTGCCTCCTGAAATAATGGAACATCAACCAATTCTTTTTGATATAGTGACTGCATACTCCCTCCATCTTCTTTTGATGCTTCCTGCATCATTCAATATCTTGCCCACAGAATCCTTCAATATTGCAACTCGAGGTTTGGATTTTTTTCTTTCAGCATGAGAAGTGCTAAGCGCATTCTTCCTTCTTGATTTTCATAATAGTATTTTACTTTGTCTTCTTGAACTGCCCTTTGAAATCTATTCAGCTCTTTTGTCATTTCTTCCATTTGCTTTAGCTACTTTCCTTCTATGAGTAAGTTTAAGAGTCTTTTCCAACATCCAATTTAATCTATTCTTCCTTTGTTGTCTCTTTAACGACTATTTGCTTTCGTGATGTATAATGTTCTCAATGTCATCCCACAACTCATCTGGTTTTCAGTCATTGGTGTTCAATGCATCAACTCTATTCTTCAGATGGTCTCTAAATTCAGGTGGGATATAATCAAGGTCATATTTTGGCTCTCATGGACTTGTTTTAAATTTCTTCAGCTTCATCTTGAACTTGCATAAAAGCAATTGATGGTCAGCTCCTGGTCTTGTTTTGACTTAAGATATTGAGCTCCTCCATCGCCTTTTTCTACAGATACAATCTGATTCCTGTCTATTGCACCACTCCTCTGTCAATCTGCTGCAGTGTGGTGGCTTGCATGTTGCTGTAAGGCTGGAGACTATGCCTTCGGTATTTTAAATACCAGCAGGGTCGCCCATGGTGAACAGGTTTCAGCAGAGCTTCCAAACTAAGACAGACTGGGGAAAAGGACACCCACTTCTGAAAATGTTGGCCAGTGAAAACCTTATGAATAGCAGTGAAACACTGTCTGATATATTACTGGAAAACTTCATGAATAGCCCTGAAACATTGTCTGATACAGTGCCAAAAGATTAACCCCTTGGGTTGGAAGGTACTCAAAATACAACTGAGGAAGAATTACCTCTTCAAAGTGGAGTCTACCTTAATGATGTGGATGGAGTAAAGTTTTTGGGACTTCCATTTGCTGATGCAGCATGACTCAAAATGGGAAGAAACAGCTGCAAATATCCATTAATAGTTGGAATATGGAATGTATGCAGTATGAATCTAGGAAAATTGGAAGTTGTCAAAAATCAAATGGAATGCATAAAGATTGATATCCTAGGCATTAATTAGTGAGCCTAAGTAGACTGGTATTAGCCATTTTGATTCAGACAATCTTATGGTCAACTATGCCAGGAACAACAAATTGAAGAGAAATGGCATTGCATTCATTGTCAGTCAAAAACAATGTTTCCAGACATGTCCTGAAGTACAGTGCTGTCCATGATAGGATATTATCCATACACCTATAAGGAGGAGCAGTTAATACTCCTATTATTCAAGTTTACACATCAACCACTAAAGCCAAAGATGAAGAAATTGAACATTTTTACCAACTTCTGCAGTCTGAAATTGACCAAACATTCAATCAAGATGTATTGATTATTACTGGTGATTGGAATGCAAAAGTTGGAAACAAAAGAATCATCAGTAGTTGGAAAATATAGCCTTGGTGATAGAAATGATGCCAGACATCACATGATAGAATTTTGCAAGAAGGGCACTCAAAGCTTCAAATATAAATTAACATGGAGTTTTAGCCTTGTAGGAATAGTGTTAAAGGTAAGCAGGTCTTATGGAAAATTTTTTGTTGTTACAATTGCATACAAAACCAAAAAAAAAAAAAAAAAAAAAAAACCCACTGCCTTCAAGTCGATTCTGACTCACAGCAATCTCCATTGGGTTTCCGAGGTGGTAAATCTTAACGGAAATAGATTGCCCAGTCTTGCTTCTGCCAGGTGGCCGGTGAGTTTGAACCACCAACTTCCTTCTGGTTAGCAGATGCCTTAGGCACTGTGCTACCAGATATTTTATTAAAATAATAAATTTCTGCTGAAAAACTGCACAAAAATTTTATAGACAGTCATTTTGGTGTCACTCCATCTGACAGTGTCACCTGGTGGGGTCCGCATCCCCCTAACTTCCTAGTGATGCTATTAGGGAATATAGCTGTCAGTGTGGGCACTGGTTACTGCCAGGGAACTTTAGGAGCAGGAAGAGCCTGGTGACCTCAGCCCAAGACTGGAAATGCCGTGACTCTCCTTCTTTAATCTCTGTGCCTACTGAGGACAAGGGCAGGGCTCCAGGGGCTTTATACTTTGGAACATAAACAGTCCCAAGCACATACATGCACCTGGCAACCAGACTCACTGGCACATACTCACCAACACAATTTAATTCAAACTCAGACAAGTCCAATCTCACTGCAAATCCATATGAGTGTAAGTGGACGCACGTACACACACACACTGTCTTCCAACAGAATGTTTGCCTTCCACGCCCTTACATCCTTGGTGAAGTCTCTGATGAGCCAAGTCACACAGAGACTGACGATGGGCTCAGGTGTTACCCAGTTATCAGCGGCAACGTATAGTAACCCAAAGGAAAAATAGCTCTAAAGGAGAGATTTCTGGCAAACAAAGGAAACCAAAAAGGGACAGGAGACGTCGTGGGCATCCCTCCAAACATCTTCAGCCAGGTAGGAGATTGCCACCCTAGACTGAGCGCAAATTCCTACATGGATATTAACTAGGGCATCACCAAGACTCACACACGTGCCCTAGCACACGTCCCCTAGGTGCCTGCGGCTTTCGAGGAGCGCTCAAACAACTTCCTCCCCTGACCCCGAGCGGCCGTTGGCCAAGCTCCAACCCCACCCGTAAACCTCGCTCGCCTGGTAAACTCAGTCCTGACACCTTCCTCACTTCCTGCCCCTTTCTCTCTCCCCGCTCCCGGCCCACACAAAGAGCCAGGAGTCCCAGACCGCTCTAATCCTACTGCTTTGGGAAGCAAGGGGGCAGCAGCAGAAGTTGAGTTGGACGGAGCCCCCTGGCCACCCTGTGGCAGCCCTCCGTTCACCCACCCAGCCTTGGCCCAAGGAGATCAGCTCTAGGCGGGGCAAGTCAGCAGAGCACAGTCACCCCGCCTGGCTGCCGCGGGGGCGGGGCGTCTCGATGCGCCGCCCCAGTGGCGTTAGCCTGGCGGAGCTGGGAGGTGTCGTCCAGCCAGGGGTTCAATTTCAGCCCGCCAAGCAGTGGTTGTTGGCTCGCGGCCGGGCTTCGGCCCCGGACGATGGTGCGTGCCCAGAATGCTACCTTGCCACGTCTTGCTGCTGGCGATGCTTCTCAGCCTTCCCATCGGCTCCTCCGACGCGAATGGTAAGGATCGCGACCCGGGGCTGCCCTGCCTTGTCAGCGCTGCCCGGCCGCCTCCCGCCAACCTCACCCGACACCCCTATATTAAAGTTTTACACCCCACAGAGAAGCCCATCTGGCTGGCCCTCTAGGGACAGGGGCGTCCATTACCTCTTCCCTCCCTAAACCTCCCTCTTTCCTCTTTCTTGCAAAGCTGTGTCTCAAGAGGCGGCTGCTCTGACTTTCCTATTGTGGACTTGAAAGAGGCTGAGACTGACTTGGCCGTGTGTGTGTGTGTGTGTGTGTGTGTGTGTGTGTGTGTAGTGTATGGAGAAGAGAAAAGCCCATGCCAACTCATCGTCCACCCCCATTTGGAGAAGCTATACTTACCTATCGGCCCTGGGTTTTTTGTTGTTCTCTTTCAAATGATGAGGTCACTTGTTGGTCCTTGGGATGACTTCGATCCTCATCTGACTTTAACTTTCCTTACCTACCCAGTTAACCTGTTTCTGCCTCTGTCTCATCTCACACACACACCCCTTTTCTGCCCTTTCCCAATCATCCCTACTCCATGTTAGCCCCTAACTCACTCCCACTGCCAACCCCTTATACAAACCCCTTATACCAACCCCTCACTTTGGGCTCCCAACCCAGCTGGCTCTCCTGGGAAAGTTTCTGCCATAGAGAAGATTAAAACTCTGAAGAGTTTGAGAATGAAAGGGCCAGAGTTAGAGGAACCAAGAGCAGGACAGGGAGAGCAAAGACTGAAACCATTTGTACATGACACCAAAATGCAAAGTAAAACACGCAACCATTCACATGGTGGAGAACTGAGTTGGTGATACGTAGACCCAGCACCACAAAGACGGGCTGCGTTTTCTCACTTTCCATTTAATGTTTTGAAATCGAGACGAAGGCTTGAGGGTCAAAGACCCAGTAAGAAAGCAAGCAAGAGACAAGGACAGGGCATTTTCTAATGACAAAGTCAGAAAAAAGAAGCGTATTACAAAGATCAAGAGAAGTGAGAGTACAAAGGAAGCAGGAGCGGGGTGGCTGTCAGACTGAGAGGCATGAAGGGTGGCGGAGAGAAGAGAAGCTCAGTGGGTATCGAATGGCCTTGCACATACCTCTTTACACTAGATGGACAAGATTCTAAAAGTAGGTCTACTGGTTGCACGCTCACAAATGAGGCAACTGGTTCAGCAAGGTTGTCATTTGTCCAAAGTCACACTGACAAGCGACCATTTGAGGCTCTTGAAGTTGGTATTCCCTGTGGTGAATGGTGTGTGTTGAGGGGGACAGGAAGGGAAAGATAGGGGGCAGTATTTAGTATCTTATCTTGGAGCCATTTCTTTGTGGGAATAGCCTCAGCCCAGTTCAGAGCCAGAGCTAGTTCACCCAGCTGGGCATCTATAGGAAAAAGGTTTTCTTGGAGCTAGAGAATGGGATAAGCATGTATGTTGGGCAAGCCCAGGAGAACCATGAAGAGAAATGGGCAGATGTCAACAAACAGGATGTATGTCCAGAGACCCCAGAGAGGTGGCCTGGGGCTGGGCCAGGGCTGGGGCCAAGGTAGGGATCAGGCCTGGGGTTGGGGCCTAGGCTTGGGCACAAGGCTAGAGCAGAGACAGGATTTGGGCAAGCCAGGGACTAGGTCATCTGAGACCTCATTGCCGATATGCCTTAGCCCTCAGCCTCTGCCTTCTCCCTGGGATACATCGGACCCAGGTCAGCACTTCTCAGCCACCATTTCTGCTTCTGGTCACAGACAACCCAGGCTAGTGATTTAAGGATACAACCCTAGCTTTGGGCAGACACATGTGGATTTGAGTCCCTACTCTGCCCCTTACTAGATCAATTGGCCTTGGGCACATCACTTAAGCACTCTGAGCCTCCATTTGTTCTTGGGTAAAACTGAGGTAAATAACTACCTTATAGGGCTGTTGTGATAACTAAACAAGAATACCTAGCACAATGATCAGCTCATAATAAAGTACCCGATATTATGGCAAGTTTTACAAGCCCTGCCATGATCACCCTTATCCTTGTCCCAGGGGGGTGGCTGAGAACTGTTGGGCTCTGTGAGCCCTGATACTGACACTCTTCTCCATAGGGACAGAACTGCCCAGCCCTCCATCTGTGTGGTTTGAAGCGGAATTTTTCAGCCATATTCTCCACTGGATGCCCATCCTGAATCAGACCCAAAGCACCTACTATGAAGTAAAGCTTGTACGGTGAGGAAAAGGAAGGGCAGAAGAAGGTGGGAGGGAGTAGTGGATCCATCCCCTCTGTTCCTCTGGCACAGGGAAGATATATGTGGTCCTATTGGGAGCTCTGGTAGCATAGTGGGTAAGACACTTGACTGCTAACCAGAAGGCTGGCGGTTCAAACCCACCAGCCACTCCCCAGAAGGAAGATGGGGCAATCTACTTCCATAGTGATACTGCCTCGGAAACCCAAGGAGGGGTCAATATGAGTCGAGTCCGACTCGATGGCACATAACAATATTGGAATGAGACCTGGAGGGACCCTGATATATTTCTGTCAATTAACAAGGCACTCACTGAGCCCCTGTATGCTCCCAGCAGTATGCTGGGAGCTCTGCGATGAGGAGGCCATGGTATTGTCTTTGTCCTCCAGACTTTTTCATCTTAATAAAAAACAGGAAATGCCTCCACATTATAGTTGGAGAATAAGAAGCTGACTCTGAGAATAAGAAAGTGTAGTTTGGAGAAAACGGAAATTAGGCTGTGTTGCCAGGGGTGGCAAGTCTTCCTGGAGGAGGAGCTGGGCCTTGAGCTAGTCATAATCCAATCTAACAATCCTTGGGCCCCAGAAAAATTGATCCAGGGTCCCAGAAACAAGGGAGACCTCCTAGAAAGTTTATGCCGTGGACTAGGGGAAACAGCCTGCAGCCTGTACCACCGTCTCCCATTCTGGAATTCTTTCCCCTAGCCTCTTGCCTCCCACTGAAACGGGTAGGCCTGAGCACAAGTTCCTCTCCCTATACCCACTGTGATCTCTCCCCAGCTATGGAACAGAGCACTGGGAGGCCATCCCTGCCTGTACCCAGGCCCCGAAGCCGTGCTGTGATCTCACTGCAGTGACCCTAGACCTGTACCACAACAACGGTTACTGGGCCAAAGTCCGGGCAGTGGATGGCAGCCGGCACTCCAATTGGACCTCTACTGAAACACGCTTCTCTATAGATGAAGGTAATTTTTCTCCCTGTGGCCTACAAGATGGCATTTGGGACCCCTTCCAGCCAGAAGTTCCAGTCTAAAGCTTTTCTGTCTGTTCCCATAATTCTGCACATCAGCCAAACATCTGGGCTGAGGACCTAGTTGGCCAAATAGGCTCGAGTCAGGACTAGAGAGAACAGTCCTTTGTAGAAAGTTTAAAAGAAAACAGCCAGCGTCATTAGAGATTTTAAAAAGGAACTAAAGTTGTTTATCCTACAGAAGAGAGATCTCAGGGTGGGTTGGGGCAGCTGAGTCACAAGAGCCAGGACATTTAGAGTTCAGAGAGAGGAAGCGAGTCCATAAGCACTCAGTAAAGGACACAGGAAACAGTAGGCAGACTTTGGATCAAGTCTTCCCTTCTTTAGGGATAAACTGCAAGAATCAGGGTATGAGGTAATAATGAAAGAAAGTGTATGATCTTTCTCTGGGGAGGTAAGACTAAGAGGATAAGCTCCAAATTAATGGGTTTCTTCCATTCCTTAAATTGGGGTTGCGTAAGGAGCTCTGGTAGTATAGTGCCTAAGGCACTTGACTGCTAACCAGAAGGCTGGCAGTTCAAACCCACCCGCCACTCCTTGGAAGGAAGGTTGGGCAACCTACTTCCGTAGTGATACTGCCTTGGAAACCCAAGGAGGGGTCACTATGAGTCAGGTCCGACTCGACAGCACATAACAACAACAACAAGGAGCTCTGGTAGAGTGCTTAAAGTATCTGACTGCTAACCGGAAGGTTGGTGGTTCAAACTCATCAGCCACTCCGTGGAAGCAAGACTGGGCAATCTACTTCTGTAAAGATTTACTGCCTTGGAAACCCAATGGGGGTCGCTATGAGTCAGAATCGACTTGATGGCCATGGGTTTATTTTTAGTGGGATGCTCTATATGAAGGTCCCTGGGTGGCACAAACAGTTTGTGCTCAACTACTAACTTAAAAGTTAGCAGTCTGAACCCACCAGTGACACCTCGGAAGAAAGACCTGGTGATCTGCTTTCATAAAGATGATAGATGAGAAATCCTATGGAGCAGTTCTCCTCTGTAACACTTGGGATCGCCATAAGTGAGAATCGACTCAACAACAATGGGTTTGGTTTTGGTTTATGCTCTATATGTGTGGTGAACCCTCCCTGAAGGAGTCAGAGTCAGAGCCAAGGATCTAGGAAGTCATTTGCTCTCAGAGGCCTGTCTGCAAGCCAGTGCCCAGTGGGCTGCAGAATTGTTACCTGGAGAATATGTTTAAAGCATGTTTCCAGGGCCCAGCCTCAGAAATTCCTATTCACTGTCTTGAGTAGGCTTGAGGCATCTGTATTTTTAACATGCTCCTCAGGAAATCTTTATAATCAGCTGCGTTGGAAAACCTCTGGCAAAGCTTGATCCTAGAGGCAAGGTGTGGGTGGATGGATGCCAAGGCCTGCCCCAGCCTACAGGCCTTATAGTGTTGCCTCCCATTCAGTGATTCTGACAGTAGGCAGCGTGACTCTAGAGGTGCACAACGGCTTCATCCTTGGAACCATCCAGCCCCCCAGACCCATCATGGCCCGCGCTGGTGACATGTATGAACACATCTTCCCAAACTTCCGCGAGTATGAGATCGCTGTTCGCAAGGTGCCAGGAAACTACACGGTATGATGCTCCCTGTCACCTAGACTGGAAATGTTATGCGGGACTTGGCTGGCAGAGCTGAGAGAGGTCCTGTTGTGGAGGTGGGGAGTGTGACGGGGAAGGAGGGTGTAGAAATGACCCCAGCCTTCAAACCTGTGCTCTTGGCAGGTGGTGGGAAGACATTGCCATCCACAGAGTGCCTGCTGAGTTTCGGGCACCACAGGAGACATAACTATTTTTTCTGATCCTTTTACAGGTAGATACTTTATTCCATTTTATAGATGAGGAGATGAGGCTTGGACAGGCAGTATAATTTGCCAAGGACGCCCCATAAGGGAGAGATATGGAATCTGGACTCAGGGCTGTTTATCTGCAAATTCTGCCTTTTTCCTTCCACCATAGTTGATTCCAGCCCCTCTGGAAAGGTCCCCAGCTTCTATAAAACACTCCCTTTTCCCTTTTGGGAGCTCTGGTGGCATAGTGCCTTAGGAATTTGACTGCTAACCAGAAGGCTGGTGGTAAAAACCCACCAGCCACTCCTTGGGAGGAAAGTTGGGCAATCTACTTCCGTCGTGATACTGCCTCGGAAACCCAAGGAGGGGGGGTCACTATGAGTCAGACCCGACTCGACAGCAGTGAGGTTTTTTTTTTTTCAGTTTCTCCCTTTTAATATAAACTAAATTATGACAATTACAGGGATCTTGGTTGATAATCACAGGGTTTGCTATCTTAGAAAAAGAAGACTGAAGCTGTTGGGGGGCTTGGTCCAGATCATCTCTAAAGGCTTTCAGCTCCAGCTCCCCGCTTCTATGGTGCCATGAAATAAAGGTATTTTGCTTATTGTAGTTGTTGTTTGCATTCCAGTTCACAAACAAGAAGGTAAAACATGAAAACTTCAGCCTCGTAACCTCTGGAGAAGTGGGAGAGTTCTGTGTCAGGGTGAAACCATCCATTGGCTCACGAACTAACAAGGGAGTATGGTCCAAGGAGGTGTGCATCACCCTCACCAGGCAGTGTAAGTGCAGTCAGGACTGCTGTCAGGGTTGGGGTGGGAGTGGAGAGAGGGCACGCAGGAAGGACCTCACTCATCTGGTCGAGGCTGCTGGAGCCAGGCATGGTGCTAGGCACTCCTCCATGAATATCTTTGCCCTCACACAACCCTATGAGAGAGGCCATTATTATTCTCATTTTAGAAATGGAGGAACCGAGGCACAGGGTGTATAAACAACTGTTAGGGTCCCACAGCTAAGACATGCTGGCAGCACAGATCTCCTGATTCCATGATGCTTCCACTTGAGGATAGCTGTACTTCCCAGGAACACCCCTGGAGCTACCCTCAGGCAGCTGTGATCGTCCCTGTTTGTTGTATTTCTTTGCTGTTTGGCCTCAGAGCCCAGGATACAGAGGGCCTTCTCCTTATGCCACAGGAAGCAGAACTGAGCTGCCCCCATGCCACAAACACTCCATCAGGCTTTCAGCCAGGTGCTGGGGTGGCAAGGGGAGGGCAGAGGAGACAGGGCTGTCTAGGCTGTGGACCTGTCCAAAAGAATCTTACCATGTGCTGGGGGAACAGAGCGTGTCCAGTTAGAGGAAGACCTAACTAATAACTCAACACAGCTTTTGTCAAGTACCAGATAGATCCAGCAGAAAGTGCTCTGAGAGTGCTGAGTTCCATGTGGGCAGGAGGTTGCAGAGACTAAAAGATTCCTTGCATTTCTATAATAAATTTCACTTTATGAAGGTTATTCACAAGCTAATTGTCATTTAAGCCTCACAGCAGAGTAAGGCATGTCCTGTGTGGCAGGCAACCTGGAAGAGCTTTTTTATACATTCACCTGTATATTGATATTCACATATCATTGATGTAAGAATTGGTTTTGTGGAGAAGTTTAGGTCCAAATCCCACTTACAAGATACATGACGTTGGGCAGATTACTTAACCTCTCTGTTCATTATGATCCTAATCTGTTAAAACGGAGACAATAATAGTACTTATCATGTAAGGTTGTTGCAAGGATCAAATGAAATAAATAAAGTGCTTGGTACTTGGTAAGTGCCTTGTACTGTAGTACTTCACAACCATCTTATGAGGTAGGTACTATTTCCCTTCCCATTTTATAGATGAGAAACTGAGGCTCAGAGAGTTTAAGTAGTCTCACAGCTAGTAAGTGGTGAAGCTGGGATTTGAACCTAGGTCTGGCTGGCCCCAAAGCCTCTCTTCGTACCTGCTGTGCCATCTGGCCTCATTGTTCTGGTTGCCATCATGTGAGTCATGTGCAAAGGGTTGGAAACATAGTACCATGTCTGATGAGGGAGTCCTTTATGGCAGGGTATGGAAGACCAGGCAAGGATTCCCAAGATCCCAGACACATCTAGACCTGTGTGGCTTGGAGGTAGCCTGTGAGGTTCTTGGGACCACTCACTGGGTGGTTCCTAAGAGTAGCTGAGGGACCCGTGGGTACCACCCCTCCATGTTCCAAGTGCCAGGCCACCAATGCATTTCTCTGGGCCTGCAGATTTCACCCCAACCATCATCAGTGTCTGCTGCTTTATGCTGCTGCTCTGCGGAACCCTGGTGTTCTTTCTGGCCTTCCAGCTGTACGTGCGGCACCGGGGGAAGCTGCCCGCTGTCCTGGTGAGTGTCCTGAGAAGCCACTGTCTATCTGTCCCAGCCACACCAGAGCTGCCGGGGAGCGGGGAGCCCTCTCAGGTAGTCCATCCCCTCAGCTCTCCTCCACTCTCAGCATTGACATCGTTGTTGTTGTTGTTGTTATGTGCCCTCGAGTCGGACCCGACTCATAGCGACCCCTCCTTGGGTTTCAGAGGCAGTATCACTATGTAAGTAGATTGCCCCATGTTCCTTCCGAGGAGTGGCTGGTGGGTTTGAACTGCTGGCCTTCTAGCTAGCAGTCAAGTGCCTTGGGCACTACGCTACCAAAGCTCCCACGCATTGACATCAGGAGGTGCTTTTGTCAAGAACCATGGGGATAGAAGGTTGACATGAACACAAATCCCAATCTTTAGAACCTTGCCTTCTAATAGCCTAGATAAAACATGAACTGAGTAAACACAGTTGCCCACACTTCACTTGGTTATTATTTATTAATAGTTGGCCATGGATTAGCTCCTGTGCATTTAGTACCTATGAGATAGGCACAGTTATTATCCTCGTTTTATGAGTGATTAAACTGAGGCATAGAGAGACTGTTTCATGCAGAGGATCACACAGTCAGGAACCCAGCCCCTGAATTGGTGAGGGAGGTTCTAGAGAGGAGAGGGAGAACAGAAGGCTGGAAGTGCTTGCCCTTGGGCTGCTGTCAGAATGGGTGGTAGCAGAATGGAGAGGTGATTCCTACAAGGAGGGATTCTTAGAGGGTTGAGGGTCTCATGGCCCTCCAAGAGCATTTCCTTTTGCTACAGAATGCTGACAAATGCTGCATTTGTGGTGAGCCAGCCTCCAAAGCTCACCTTGAAAGACTTGAGCAGCGTTTTCCAAACCTTAGCCTGTCTCTGGCTCAGAGTTCAGGCCGCCTCAGAGGTTGCCTGCCACACAGCCCCTTCAACTGGCATTACTAATGTGTGATAGTCCAGGGCATATCTGGGAAGGACACAGCTTGATCAGGGAGGCAGGAGCCCTGGGAAAGCTCACAGCGGGGAGAGATCCTAGGATCTCTAGGAAAAATAAAGAGAGACTCACAGAGTCTGAAATTATTCTGTGTAAGAACTCCAGGAAGTTGAGATAAGGGTGGGACTGCCTGTCCTCATGAGGGTGTTTGTCTAGGAAGAAAGGAACCATGCTCCCATCTCTAGTAGACTCTGGTAAGAGAGATACAGTGAGAGACCAGGGCCAGGCAGTACCTACAACCTTAAACCAAAAAACCAAACCCACTGCCATCAAGTCGATTCCAACTTGTAGCAACCCTATAGGACAGAATAGAAACTCTCTATTGGGTTTCCAAGGCAGTAAATCTTTCTGGGAGCAGACTGATTCACCTTTCTTCCACAGAGCAGCTGGTAGGTTTGAACCACTGACCTTTTGATTAGCAGCTAAATGCTTTAGGTATTGTGCCACCAGAGCTTCTTTTCCTACAGCCTTAAACCAAAAAAAAAAAACTTACAGCCTTAGGGGATTATGAAGTTCTTCCTCGTGTGTAGCTGAAATGTGTACTCATTGTCCTTTCTCTGTGCTGTGGTGAGATTCAGACTTGTTTAACAAAGCACTTTGAGCGTATGCTATACACAGGGTGTGCAGCTAGGCAGGGTGGTGGTGGTGGTTTAGAAATGAATGCCAAAGAGCCTGCCCTCAGGGATGGGAGACTGGAACGTGATAACTAGAAAGCAGAGAGCCTGGTACATGCGATGCGGAGATTTTTAGTTGGGGTTCAGGAAAGGCATCTAGAAAGACAGTGAGTAAATGAGACAGCAGTTGCTGAGCACCAACTGCATACAAAACATTGTTAGGGAAGAAGCCAATTAGTATGGCACCCAGTCTCATAGGGCTTGACTACAGCCTGTTGTGGCAACCGATGTGTAAAGTTAACTTTAATTCAAAGCTCAGTGAAATAGACATAGATGCAGAAAAATGTCCTGGGAGATGGCAAACAATTTCCCAGGTTTTTTTCCCTTCTATGCCCTTGAATCACAAAACTGAGTGGCCCTTGAGGCTTTTTTCTACTCTAGGATAAATAAACAATTGCTGGGTGGTGCAAATAGTTAATGCAATCAGCTGCTAACTGAAAGGTTGGAGGTTTGAGCCCAATCAGTGGTACCTTGGAAGAAAGACCTGGCCATCTACTTCCAAAAAAGCACAGCCATTGAAAACCCTGTGGAGCACAGTTCTTCTTTGACACACATGGGGTCTCCAGGAACCAGAGTCAACTTGATACAACTGGTTTTTTAGGATAAATACAACCAATTGCCTTCATCTAATGATCACAGTCATCAACAACTTTGTGAATAACTTTTAGTGTATAGTTGCAGTTATTCTCATGGTCTCTTAGCTGGTTTGATCTGACCTTTCCACAACCCAGTGAGGTAAGTATTTTTAGACAAGCAGAGGATTTCAAATCAGGACAGTTTAATACAAATTTCAGGTTTGTTCTTTGCTGCTGTGTGACTTTGGACAAGTCATTTAACTTCTCTGTGCATCAATTTTCTCTTCTAGGAAATAGAAATAATAACACTTCCTTTATAAAATTATTGGAGGGTAAATTCAATTCAGCAAATATTTACTGAGAGCTTTCTATGTACCAGGCACTGTTCTAAGCATTTGTGAGGCATTAACCACAATGTGAGAAGGGAGGTACTGTCATTATTTCCATTTTAAAGATGTGAAACTGAAGCACAGAGAGTATAACTAATTTGCCCAATGTCACACAGCTGATAAGAAACAGAACTTAGATTGGAGCCCAAGTGTAGTCTAGCTTGAGAGTACACATCCTTACTCAGCAAGCTATGTGAAATTAAAAGGGACTCCATCAATACGAGTTTGAGTCATTGTATACCAAGGAATAAGAGCACATATATAACAGTGAGTCTGTAAGTCAGTCAACAAACCTTATGATAACCTACTATGTGCTAGCACAGGTTAGGCTGTGGAGACAGAGTAGTGAACAAGACTATTCAGTTCTTTCCCTCGAGCTTACATTCTTTTGGGGATGAGGAGTGAGGATGGATGTGTTGGAGTGGGGTTGGGGGAACAAAAACAAATGAAATATAATTCTAGTAATGAAGAGGTAAACTAAGTCCATGTGGAGAGAATGGCTGGACATGGCTTTAGTCAGGGTGGTCAGGAAGATCTCTCTGCTGAAGTGACGTCTAAGCTGAGACCTGAACCGCAAAGAGGGCACAGCCATGCCCAGGGCTGAGAGAAGAACATTCCAGTCAGAAGCAGTAGCATGGGCAAAGGTCCTGAGACAGCACTATTCAGGGGAAGAAAGACCACCTGTGTGGCTGGGGCAGGGGAGTGAGGAGAAAGGTTAAGTGACTTCCCTGAGACACTCAGCAATGGGTGGAGAACAGGCCCTTGGCTGCTTAGCTTGTTCCCCTGCCTCCCACTGTCAGCTGCCCTGTCAAACTGCTGCTCATAACTCAGGAACTGGAGGAATGAATGGGAATGGACATGTCTCACATCCAGCATTTTAAAAAATGAAAGGGATTAGATAGGATATGATAGAGTAGAGTAGAATGGAAAATATCAGGACACATAGGTATTATAAGGGGCTTTGGTGGTGCAGTGGTCAAAGTGCTCATATGCTTACCAAAAGGTCAGCAGTTTGAACCCGTCAGCCATTCTGTGGGAGAAAGATGTGGCAGTCTGCTTCCATAAAGAATTACAGCCTTAGAAACCCTATAGAACAGTTCTAAACCAAAAAAAAAAAAAAACTCACTGCTGTCAAGTCAGATCCGACTCATAGCGACCCCCACTTGGGTTTCCCAGACGGTACCACTACAGACATAGTTTGCCCAGTCTTCCTTCCGAGGAGTGGCTGGTGAGTTTGAAACACCAGCCTTCTGGTTAGCAGTCAAATGCCTTAGGCACTACACCACCAGTGCTCCTAAGCAGTTCTACTCTGTCCTATATATAAGGTCACTAAGAACCAGAATTGACTTGATGGCAGTGAATTTTTTGGTCCTTACAAGTAATATTTTGAGAAACGTTTTTCAGTTTTATGTGCACACATATATATATAGAGAGAGAGGGACAGAGAGGTTATTATGTAAAATTTACCTCTTACTGTGAGTCATAGTTGAAAAAGTTTGAGACACACTTCTAAAAGGGCCCTGGCTGCTCTTGGGTTTGAAAAGCACTGCTAATGGAGCCACTTGTGAGGTTCTCCCATTCCCAGCAAGCTCTCATTCTGCCTGCCAGTCCATCTGGGCTCCAAGAATATAAGCTTTTTAAGGCAACTGATCTGAGCCAAACTGAGAATTGAATTAGGGGGAAAAATTGATTCTAGAATAGAACAAATAGAACAAGTTTCAGTATAATCTAGGCTCTGCAACTCCCCTCTGTCGAAGCAGTAACTCCTTGAGCTCCCCGCTTGCCATGTCCTCACTGTCAAATCTAGGCCTGGTGCCTGTAGGTGACCCTCTCACTTCTCTCTCTCACTTCTTTCCTCTTCAGGTCTTCAATAAGTCAAGCCCCATCAGCCTTGTCAGCCAGCTTCCCTGCCCAGAGGCCCCAGACACCATTCACCACGTTGATGAGGAGGCCTTCCCGAAGGTATCCCCAGAGCTGAGGAACTCAGAACTGCACGGCAGTACTGACAGTGGCTTTGGTAGTGCCAAGCCATCTCTGCAGACTGAAGAAGCACAATTTCTCCTCCTTGCACCCCACCCTCAGACTGGTGGGACCGTGGGGCAGGGGGAACCCCCAGCACTGGAGAACAGCTGCAGTGGGGGCAGCAGCAACAGCACAGACAGTGGCATCTGCTTGCAGGAGCCCAGTCTGAGCCCCGGCACAGGGCCTGGCTGGGAACTACAGGTGGGGAGCAACAGCCGGGACCAGGATGACAGTGGCATTGGCTTTGTCCAAAACTCTTCACAACAGCCTGGGGGCACACAAGGCAGCTCAGCCTTGAGTGAGGTCAGCTCCTCAAGGCCTGAGTTACCTGGGGAAGAAAACCCAGAGGTGGTGACACTCCAAGGCTACCTGCAGCAGACAAGGTGCACAGAGGAGAAGGCAGCCAATGCCAGCTGCCTGGAGGTAGAGTCCTCCTCTACAGATGGCCTTGGCCCCCAATTCCGGACATGCCTAGATGCCGAGGCAGACTGGCCTCCTTCAGCCCTGGCCAAGGGCTATATGAAACAGGACCCCCCAGGAATGACTCTCTTTCCATCAGGGGCTCCAGTTGGACAGTGGGAACAACGAGCTGAGGAATGGCCACTCCTTGGCTTGACAAACTGTGGTGATCTGGGAACCTCTGATTGGAGCTTTGCCCAGGATCTTGCCCATCTAGACTGTATGGCAACCCCAAGTAGTCTCCTTGGCAACTTTGACTCAGACCTGGTGGCTCTGCCACTGATCTCCAGCCTGCACACAAATGAGTGACCCTGGCTAAGGGGATGCACTGGATGTTAGCCATGTGTGCTCCTCCCCTGGATGACACTGGACAAAGATTGTCCTCAGGGAGGAGGAGACATCCCCAAGAGATCAGAGGTGAAACATATGCCAAGCTTGGCACTTTTCTGCAAACTCATTGGTACCAGCCCTAGCCAGGCCCCACAAGGTTGGCTGCAGTGCTCAGGGGCCAAAGAAGGTAATTTTGCTGAACTAGTGCAGGGGGTGTGGTATCAGTGGCCTGTTCTGCTGAATGGGACCTTGCAGAGTCTGGCAAGCTGAGAAGGTTAGGGCAGAGACCTCCTTCCCCTTGGGACTCTTTCCTGTCTGTCTCAGAAAGGATTGTTTGCTCAGGGGAACTATGGGATTTTCTAGAGTTGTGGTGAGGCTACCAGGCTGAAGTCAGCTTGGACTCAGGCCTCTCTTTTTGGCCAGCCATGTGTCAGGGCCTCCAGCGGATGGAGGCTGGGAGGATGAAGGCTTCAGGGCCTTAGTGCAATGGTCATTTCTAGGGGAAAAAAGGAGGCAACAGATGCCTTGTTTGAGGCTAGGATGGCCCCATGGAGAAGGTTGGTTAAGTTGTCATTGGAAGATGTTAAGGTGTGTCTGCCCAGTCCAGTCAATCCATCTGCACATCATTATGGAGTCACAGGGGGATGAAGTGAGCTGAGACCCAGAATGGGGCTTTTGGCTCAAACTCAGTCCCTCTGCCAGGGTATCTCTGATGTCTGCCTTGAGACATCCCCTTTTCTAGCAAATATAGCAGCATCTCCTGGGCACTTTCAGTGGCCAGGTCACTCACCGTCTCCACCTTGCTGCCTCCATCATCTTACTGACAGTACCAGAATAACCATGGTTATTTGTATTGGTCAAAACTCAGTCCCTCAGGCAGGCCCTGGGCTTGGGCACCAGCTCACATCTGACCCAGAGGATCTGGGTTGAAACTTGCCCTTGTGTTTGCTGCTGATGTCCAGTTACAAACCCAAAGGACAGGGCTCTGGGCTGGGAGCCCTTCTTTCTCAGTGTTTAGCAGGGTGACCTTGGGCCAGCCATTTCTCAGAGAATCTCATTTTCCCCACCTGTCTCCAGGCCCCCTGCCATGCCAGGTGTTAGCCAAGCTAGTCTCTGAGTGACATCCACCCTTCCTGGCCCTGGGCTGGGAGGAAGTAGGCTCTGTGACCATGTCTGCACAGAGCCAGCCTCTTTCTCATGCTCAGATCAAGCAGAAGCCCATGCATGCATCATGCCAGGAGAGCTTGTGGTCCTGGCAGGGGGTCCAGCAAAGGCAGGTGTAGGCCCTACTTCTCCATAGTCAGCTTAGAATCTGTCTTCAAAAAAACCCAGCTCACCATCCAGAAGGTAGGAATCTGACCTGGAGTGGTCCTGAATTTCTCTGTCACATTCTGAGGACAGACATTTCAGCCCAGGGAAACCAACCATGTGGCCTCATCCACTCAGCTAAAGCTCTGAGATACTAGTCTGATTACTGAACTCCTTCCAAAATCCTTGAGGGAAGATTCCTCAGGGTTCCCCTGAAAGATTTATTTATTTTGGTCATTTATTTATTGAAGAGGCAGCATAATATAATGGAAGAATTCTGGGAACTTCAAGAACAATGTTCTAGTTCTGACTCCACTGTTTACAGCTGTGTGACCTTGGGTAAGTCACTTCTTTTTGAGCCTCAATTTCTTTATCTGGAAAACAATGCCTGACTTGTCTAATTCATAGGAATATGAGACACTGTTGAGAAAATGGGTGTGAGTGTGCCTTGAACACAAAGCTCTGTGAATGAGTGATGTATGTTTTTATCCCCCTAATAAATTGCCAGGACCACAAGAATCTTGTGACACCAACCAGATTTCTGATGATACAGTCCTGGGAGGAGGACTCTTGTTGATAATTGAGAATGACAGTGACTAGGGTGTGGGACATCAGCTTAAAAGAAACATGATCAAGGACAAAGACTCTGCATCAACATTTATTGTCTGTGACCTTGGGCAAATCACTTGACCTCTCAAAGTTTCAGTTTCCCCATCTGTAAAATAGGGGTAGTAACACCTCATGGGGATATTGTGAGTTTCAATGAGATCACATAGGTAAAGAGTATAGCACGCACAGTACCTATTCCATACAGTCTATCTGTTAGTAGCTGTTAAGGCTGTAAAGAGAAATGGACCATTTTCTTAGAAATGGTGAAAATGAAAGAGACAAGGAGTATGCAGAGAGGTTCTTTCAGAAGACTGGAAAGGAAACAGTGGAAAATACAACACAACATTTTGAACGTAAATGGTGACAATTTGGAAAGGAGAACTTAAGACCCCCTCCCTCCAGGGAAAATCTCCCTGGAGCCCCACTCCCTAACCACCTGGGCCCGGAAATACTTCTGAGGTGTGGTTCTCATAAGTGTGGAAGCCATCTGAATTCTCTTCTAAGGGCACTCCTTCCACGAAAAGCCACACTGGCTTTGAATCTCTCACTAACATCAGCCCAGTGGGTGGAGAAAACCCAGGCCCTTCACCTGCACCACCCACAAAACTTTTCTCTTTGTCCAGCCTGGATCCCGGAGGAGGGAACTGGGGGAAACCTCATCTCTTCTCTCCTATATTATCTTCAACTATGCCTCTCCACCTTTCACTCTACGAAAATCCCCAATTCTGGGGAAGTGCTGATCCTATCACCTTCACAGAACTTGACTAAGATCACACCATTTCAGACTTGCTCAGACTCTTGCCTTACAGGCCTCCTTGTCAAGATTGATAATAGGCTTGGGGTTGGGGACTTTCTCCTAGAAATGAGGTGTTGGAGATGGCTTCTGCCCCAAGGAAAAGGCCCTGAAGGTAGGTTTGGATGAAAACTGACCAAAGAGTAAATACTAAGATCCAGAGAAGAGGAATTATCTTAAAAGCCAGAGCTGATTTAATTGAAAGAGACAAGGTGGGGAGCAACTTGTCGAGCAGATAGTCAGAAGCCCTGGGCTCTGTGCAATTTAAGCCTGTTATTCTGTAAAATCAGTAAGAGTATGTGATGGTTCGCAGGTGCCTTTAAGCTAACCTATCACAGCCTGGGTTATGGGAGGAACTGAAAGAGTTCTTCCAAACAGCTGGGGTGGTGAGACACTTCCAGACTTCTAGGGAATTTGGATTAAAGTCCCCAGCAGAAGGCCCTGATGTTTCTTAAACTGAGCAACTCCTTCAAGGGCTTTTCCAGGCTGAGGAATGTGTGATTCTACGTTTCTATGAGTAATGGAACTTCCTGTTAGTAAGGAGAGAGGGGAACTTGGCCAACATTGACTGAAGAGGAAATTCTATTGAACTGTGTTTTCCCGGTTTTGTAAATAACTGTAGTCAGAGAGCCCTCCCCAAATATCTCTGTTTCTGTCCCTCTTCCTCTCTCACACTCTCTCCCTGTCTCTGTCTCTGTCTCTCTGTCTCTCAAGGTGCACACTATTATACAATACACTTAAGCAAGGCTAGGTCACTCCCAGACCTAAGCAGGGTTAGGCCCTCCCCCATCCATACTGTCTACTATAGGATTTAAGTTCTCTGAGCCCTGCACGTGAGCAGCTGAAAAGGGGAAGCCGTGGACTCCTCCATCTGGGGCTGCATGCTGGTAATTGTATGAGGTTCAAGCAGTGAGGCTGATTTTTATCAAGCTCCAATCTCGAGGACACCAGGTCACCAGGTTTTGGGAGGTTTGACTCATGCTCCTGTGGTGCTCGTGGATTTAGGGGTTTCTTTTGAAGCAAATCCACACTTTTAAATTCAGTGCATTTTTTTATTAGTGAACTTTGTTGTTCACTTTTGGCTTGCTCTTAACTTCGGATAGGTCCCATAAACATTCAAAAGGGTGGTGGGCCCAATAAACCCTCCGACAAGAAGGAGTAGAAGAGGATGAAATTAGTGTTCTGAAAAGATGACACTGGCCAAAGCATGAGCTAAGAATCAGAGGGAATAAAGTGGGGGAGAACTGGCTGGAGATTTTTGTCATGGTCAGTACTTCCTTTATTCAACAAATATATTATTGAACACCTACTATGGGCCAGCCACAGTGCTTAGCCCTGTTCAAGGTGGTGAACAAAATAGTCTTGTGGAGAGTGTCATCTGGTTATGAGAGAAAACCAAGCAAATAAACACATAATCAAAGACTTTATTACAAAGAGTGATAAGTGAGTGCTATACCTGGATACCTTCACCTTCACAGGATGGGAGGGCTGGTGCAGGTTAAGACCTGGAGGGAACACGGACTTCCAGTAAGATGGAGGAATAGGCAGATAAGCGACACAGACCCTCTTCAACAAAGAAAAGAAAAACCAATTGACAGAGATACAAAAGGTAATCCTGGAGCCCTGAGCTTTGAAAGGACCTATACAGAAATGGATTAGGCACCAACTAGTGGAAAAACCTGAACAAAAACAGTGAGTACAGAGATGGTTGGGCTGCGGACTGTCAGCTACTCTGACGGGACCAACAGCCTGAATATTTCCAAGTGGTGTTGGGACCTGAGAATTGACCTAAAGATCAGCCCTGGTCACCAAGGGCTGCAGGGATGACTGTGCTTGTGGCCTATGACTAGGAAGGGAAACAGCAAGGAGGGATACAACCTGAGCTGTTGACTTTCCCCTGTCTGGGGGGCACAGCCATTTTGATTGTTTACAAGCGGGGGCCATTTTGGATATTTAAAGTGACTGAGGGCACAGCCATTTTGAATCTTTACAGGTGGCCACCATTTTGGATTTTAAAGTGATAGCATTCTCATTCAGATTCTAGGGACCTACGAATAAGCTCTGTTTGCCAAGGTTGGCAGGGACATATGAAAGGCTGACAACAGGAAAGGAGACAGGTGGTGAGTGTGTAAGTGCTGTCAACTAGTGAATAGAGGAGCACAGTATCCTGCTTGCATAGATAACATACAAAGAAAATAAAGATCATGGGCAAATCACTCCAACATACAATCACCAATTAAATATAAACACAAAAACGTCACAATGCCTC